TGGATGCCTCCTCCCTTTCAGACAGTAAGGACTTGGCAAACTCAGTGGCTGCTTTGATTGTTTCTAGGGTTAAGTGTTGCAGTTCACTGGCTCTATCATGCAGTGCTGGATTGAGCTGCATCTTATTATCCATCTTGGATGTGTGCATGTTCATCTTATTCCGAACAGGCAGGCTCTGGATTGGCGAGACGTGTCAAATGAAATTTCCCTCATAAGACTTGCTCCCTTTCATCGGTTTTATTAAGTGATCAAGCGTAGGTAAAGACATTGTTTCTGTTTGAGGACATAATTAAACACAGAAGAACTAAATTCTGCAGAGAAAACCCGAATTCAGAAAGAAACAAACAGCATGGCCACCCTAAGCTCTTTCTGTGTGTCCAACATCTGATTATAAAAATGTGTTTTCTTTCTGGGGCCTGTCAAACTCGCATTTCACCTTCGTAGAAAAGGATGTCAGTGGCACTGGGCTCACACAGCATCCTTCACTGAAGCTCTTAAATTACAAAGGCACTATACAAAACCTCCTCAGTAAGCCTCCTGAGAGAGGAAAGGACAGAGGCAGAGACAGAATGCGCTCGAGGTCACAGAGGAGTTCTCCAGCATAGCTGGGAAGAGGTGCCAGGGCTGCAGTACCCTGACAGCAGTTCTGGACATTGCCTCCCTGTCCTCAGAAGGCAGTGGGAGCATCCCCAGCCCTGCCTTCAGGGAGGGCAGGGGAGAGCAGGCGGCAGGCACCCATTCTTCAATTCGTCTCCGTAAATCTGGGCCCTTATATCATTTGTTTAGTAAACAATCTCTTTATTAAGAAGTTTTTCACTGTGTGCAAGGATGCCTGGAGGATGACCCTGCATTACAGTGCTCAAAGAAGAACCCTGAGACCTATTGCGATGATCTTTGCAGCTCTTAATACAAAGAGTTGCCTCCTTTTGTGATGCATGCTCATTTGTAAGTAGCCCCAGTTTCGCTTCTTGGAGAAAGCTTTCATTTCTCCTTGTACTTGATATACGTGATACTCTGTGGTGGAGAGCGGATGTCAGTACCAGCTTCTGCTTCCATGGAAATCAGCAGAAGAAGATTGGGAGGTGAGCAGTAGAATAGCATTGGGGCTATCTCCTGTCGGCAGCTCAGAGCTCCTGTTACAGCCAGTCTGAAAGGCCAGGAGATGCCCTTGGACTTAGCAGCATAGTTTCAAGCGCATGCCTGTGTCTCTGTTGGAGATGAACATCCTGTTGTCTGCAGAGTCCAGTTACAGCTAAAGCTGAGGAAAAAAGAAGTATCTGTTTGCATAAGCAGGAATTTTCCTCCATTGCAGGAGCCAGCAAAGCACACTGCTTTCTCTCCAGCTCCAGAAGGGCAGAGTCATTTTTTTATTTTTGTTCCTCTGCTGCCTTCTGCCTGCTCCGTGACTCTGGTGTCACCTTCAGCACAACAGTCACCGTCCCTTCTTTTTTATCCATATCCTTCAGAGGATTTTGTTTTCCAGATTGTTTGCTGCTGCTGAAGGTGCAGCAAGAACACTCCTGTATAGCTTTACTTAAAAGAGGGAAGAAACAAAACCACATGACAAATTGGTCCAATTTATGAGAGCAACAGAAACCTGCAATTCAGCTAAATCGCCCCCACAGGCCAGCTTAGATGGCATCAATATTTAATGACCTGAGCTCCACTGCCTTCACAGCTCCGGCTTCTCACATCACAGAGTGCCCCCCACATTTGTTGCTCCACCAGCAACAATGGCACAGCCCAGCCCTGCTGGACATGACCAAATTCTGCCCCTTTTCCTACCGGGCTGCACCACCTGTGCTGCATGTTTATGCCTGAGTAACAGTTCCCAGGTTTCTGAGCATGCCTGTGGTGTGTGGCAAGCAGACAGGTGGGAGCAGGGCTGGACCCATCTCAGCTCATGGCCTCTCCTACAGTCTTCTTTTGGGTGACTGTGTGACCCAGATGGGACTGCTCACCTGGCAGCAGGCTGGAGATGGCTTCTGTTCAGCTGTCTACATCTGTTCTCATTATTCAGGCAGGGGTATTTTATCTGAGAAGGAGTTGCCATGAAATAAATTGCCAGCAGGAAGACCCAAAAATGAGCCAAGCTGTGCCAAATCCCTATCACCTGTGAGCAAAAGGGGCAGCAGGTTTGCTCAGGGATCTCTTTTGCTTGGCCCAGGCTCCACGCTGGCTACAGCAATCAGCATCTGAGAGCATCTCCCAGCTCTGCCCTGGCACAGTGCAGTGACTCCTTTCTGGCTTGCTCTGCCTGGGACAGGAACAGGAACAAGTGACAGGTTATAAAGTTATAGATGGCTGAGGCATGTTTCCTCATGGCTCTCTTGCCTCAGTTTCCATGATCTGCAAAATGGAGATCATAGAACCATAGACTGGTTTGGGTTGGAAAGGACCTTAAAGACTACCTAATTCCAGCCTCCCTGCCATGGGCAGGGACACCCTCCACTAGACCAGGTTGCTCCAAGCCCTGTCCAACCTGGCCTTGAACACTGACAGGGATGGGGCAGCCACAGCTTCTCTGGGCAACCTCTGCCAGTACCTCAACACCCTCACAGTAAACAATTTCCTTCTACTATCTAATCTAAATCTACCCTCTTCCAGTTTAAATGACTGAGATTTCCTGGTGACAAGCACAAAGTAAGAAGAGGCATTTTTATTTACTACGGCAGTGGTAAAATCTGTGCTGCTGGGCTGGTAATAAACAACCCAGCAATCAGAATTCCTCCAGCAAGACTGCACCTTCCACCAGGCTCTATGTTCACTTTAAAACACCCATTATCCAGCAACTTGCATATTCCAAAGGGGAAGTTCATTATCCACTTCAATGGCAGTGAGTGGCAGAGACCATTACAATATATGGCTTTTTGGTAAGATGGCTCTATAATTCACTTGGTATTTAACATTGGCCAGGGGGACTCATCTTTTTATATAAAATACATTCAGCAAAGCACCTTTGTCAACATCCCTCCATGCTAAAGAGCTGTCATAATGAGGATGGCTAGGAACAAACATAGCAGCAGAGGCTGCTCTCTCAGAATAGTTTGATTTGGTGGTTGCATGGCAGAGGGGACTATCAGGGGACATGCAGAGGACTCGTGTATTTGCAAGGGAATAGCCAGCTTGCTGCAGCTCATCCAGAGATGTTGGGCTTTTTCCAGTTCCAGAGCTTGGCAGCTGCTGTGGGGCAGCTTCCATCCACGCCCTGGAACACTTGGAGGCTGTCCCCAGCCCCTCCACTCTGGTGGTTGTAGAGCTCCTGTCTTGTTACAGGCATGGCTGGAAACTAACAGCAGGGCTGTGCAGAATAGCGTGTGACTTCACAGGCACATGCGAGTATCCTGGCAAATACTTAATGGATCGTTCCACCAGTTACCTCCCCAAGAAAGGAACTGAGAGCCAATTTCGTGCCTTCCAAATCACAGCTCTGTTAAAAAAATTAACAAGAGCACAGCTCTTCCTCTTGGAAGCTGTCCAGTTAATAATTTCAATGTATCAGCTGCATCTGAATGTGCTTGGGCTTCTGCCCGCTAGCTCTATTTATTTGTTTTCCATTCATTTCTGCTAAAATTAAAACTCAAAACCTTCTAGAGAGAGTGGAAAACAAACATGCTGAACCAATATTGCTGCCCACATATAACTGGCAGAAATCACTGCACTTCCTCCTCCCCTGCAGTGAGGTAAAGTCAAATTCTTCAGGCTCCCTGAGCCTCTCACCTCAAAAGTACTGCAGGCACCTGCAGCGCAGCTGCAGCCTTGCCTTCTCCTTGCCTTCTGGGCACCTCGGTAAGCAGCAAGCAGCCTTTGGCCCTTAACCGTAGGGTTTTCTGGCATACCGGTACCCCTCTACTGTGCTGTTGTGAGACCCCACCTGGTGTACTGCATCCAGCTCTGGGGCCCCAACATAAGAAGGACATGGACCTGTTGAAGTGAGGCCAGAGGAGGGCCATAAAGATGATCAGGGGGCTGGGGCACTTCTGCTATGAAGACAGGCTGAGGGAGATGGGTTGTTCAGCATGGAGAAGAGAAGGCTCTGGGGAGATCTTAGATCTTAAGCCTTCCAGTATCTAAAGGGGTCCTACAAGAAAGCTGGAGAGGGACTTTTTACAAGGCCATGTAGTGACAGAACAAGGGGGAATGGCTTTAAACTGAAAGAGGGTATTTCGATATTTAGATTAGATACTAGGAAGAAATTCATTGCGAGGGTGGTGAGACACTAGCTCAGGTTTCCCAGAGAAGCTGTGGATGCCCCATCCCTGTCAGTGTTCAAGGCCAGGCTGGATGGGGCTTTGAGCAACCTTGGTCTAGTGGAGGGTGTGCCTGCCCATGGCAGGGGGGTTGGAACTAGATAATCTGTAAGGTCCCTTCCAAACCCAGATCATCCTACGATTCTATGCTAAAACATACATAATCCAAGAACATGACATTTTTTCCCTTCCCTTGTTTTTTCCCTTGTAGCTATCAAGAGGCTCTATCAAGAGGCTGATGGAGGTTCCTCAGGCTAACTGCTAACTGGAGTTAGCTGTTCTACCCTGCTGTTAACACCCAGCCTGCCTAGTGCTTGCTTGACTTCTTGTTGGTGTCTTGGGCTGTTCTGAACCCATCTTTATCTCAAAGCACATCATCTTATCAAAGGCTTTGCTATAAAAGCCCAGGCTTTTACAATGGCGTCATTCTTTATGCATCCAAGTGCAAATAAGAACTGAAAAGCCAAAGGTTATGAACTTACTTTTAAAGTGATACAAATTACAAAATAACCTCATTTAAAATTACAGCATTTAAACCCTATTTACAACAGCACAATAAATAGGATCTAACTCTTGATGTACAATAAGAGATTCTTCATAAGAGAAGTCAAATGCACTAAAATAAGTCTTTGGTCTTTGTCACTGCTTTGTTTTAGAATTCAAATATTTTTCTTCCTTAAAACCTCACATGAGTGAGTGCATGGTGCAAGGCTTGAGTCTGGTTGAGTAAATTATTCTTCTGCCTGTTACCTAACACGATTTCCTTCCACCAATAAATAGAGTTCCCAGTTCTGCATTTTGGTCATCATCAGGAATGACATCATCCTCCATAAACTCATCTCCAAGCTTCTTCCACCATGGCCAGCGAGTGTATTTCAGCATAGTGTTGTGTGATTGTCTTGCCTTGGTAGCTACAGGGACTGATCGACTCATAAAGACATCTAGATCTTTTTCTGTAGTCTCTGCCAGCCCTGGAGCATCTGTAAAAATAAGATTTTTTTGTTTGTGGTTTTAAGAATATTTCAAATAAAAAAAAAAAAAGAAGCATCAGCACTACCACCCCGCTTTCCCACTGTCCTAGATCACCCCTTTCCCTATGCAGGTATTACAATTTTATGGTTGCATGATAAAGCTGACTGGACAAGTGATTCAAATTAAAGCTAATCTGAGAAAATAAATACATAATGGGAGAGGCAGAAGAAGCGGGGGAAAGCAGGACTTTCACTCAGGTGCAGTGGTGTCATCCACCAAAATGATTTGTGAAAGTATGACTTAAAAGAAAGAGATGTTCCTTGCCACTACTGTTGGATCAGCACTCGCAGTACAGAGGGGTATCAGCAGAGTGCTTCCACTGCTCTGGTGCAGCAAACTCCCTGCCTGGAGGACCCAGCCCAGTGTAAGAGTGTGTTGCTGATTTGCCTGATCAGGGAGCAATGAGCTCCAGTGACACAGCATGTGACAGACTAAATAATGGCATTCAGTAATGCTGAATTTTGTCTGGCTTGGGTGCTCTCTGGTGGCTACGGTTTGCTATTCTCACTCTTTCACTATGGGCTACTTGTCTGGAATTAAGATAGCATGAGAGTGAATTCTGCTTCAAACAAAGCCAGGCTGGAGAAAATGAAAACATTACTTGGAATTCATAGCTTAAATATTTCCCTCTTTATCTGGAAGAGGTGAGAGCACTTCAACCAGTGGCTTGCATACAACAAGAAGACAGACCAAAGCAAAACAAACGTAGAAGAGGTTTGTCCGAGATCCCCTTCTTAGAAATATTAATGCCTTTTACAGGGCCATTGCTTTTCTTGTGAACATACCAGAGAGAGACTTTTAACAGAAGATGATGATGTTCCTTGAAAAGCAGGTGTGTATACTTAGCATGTAGGAACACTTTGATAACCCCTGACAAAGCCCAAATATCAAGATAAGGCATATGGCACAGGAAAAAAGACATTTCAGTTTTGAAATGAGTCTTTAACATCATTCCCTCTTATTTTCTTTCTAAATTAGTTTAATCCAAATGGTAATTAAAACCATGACCAGAACAGTCACGTACTCATTAGTAGCTCCACATCAGTGTTGACCTGAGCCAGCAACGCCTCCCTTCGCTGTGCTGCTCTCTGATCCAGTCTGCTTCTCAGCAAGAACTGTGCCAGCTTTTCCTGGGTCTGCATATGTAATTCTTTACTTCTTTCTTCTGACATTTGGGAAGCCTGGAGGAGAATAACAGTTTATTACCATTAGGAGCTGGTTACTTTAAGTCTTTTGGGGGCAGAATAATGTCTAAACAAGGAATGCAAATCCTGTTCCTAATTGTTAACTCAATTTTGCTTCCTCTGCAGCTCTTTCCAAAGCTATCCATCATCAAGTATATAAATTACAGTTTGCTTTAACCCTTTTTATTAATGGTTAAAATCTCCAATAGCTCAGTGTCTTGCTGTCAAACAAGCAGGGTTAATTTATGCATACCTCATATGTATTATCTTGAATTTATGAAGCTGACGATATTTCATCCCTACAGTATTTTATGTTGCATCATTAATGCAAATTATGAAATGACTAAGGAACAGACCGGATGCAATTTGATGTAGTCATCCACCTTCTGCTGCAAAGCTAGTCTCTGCTCATCAGTCAGTCCCTTGGGATCTTTCCAAGGAGAGAGAGATCTCCTCCTTCTTCGTTTTTCCAGGAATTTACAAGCCTTTGTAAAGAATGTATGAGAATATGATAATCAGAGACAGGAAAATCGTCTTTTCATTTTGTTTGTAATCAATTGATGAAAAAAAAATGTTTCAGTACTGCATCTGTTAAGGCATAAATATAGCTGTGATGCTGAAAAGACACCATACAATGGTCAGCATGAGTGCTAAACAGTAAGAACACTCATAATAAACTACTGACTCAGCTGTACAATGGTGAAATTCCAACCTTGCATTTCAAAGTGGCAGTCTTATATTTCAGTTATAAGCCTGTATTAGGCTTTGTAACCTATGCAGCATGTAACATGTCGAAGCAACTTGTGGCTCTAGACTGTCATCCTTGAATAATTTTTTAATAAATTATGGCTACATCGACAGTAAGAGAACAAACAGAGCTTTCCGAGGCATTGCAATAACCCACTCGGTTCTATCTAATGTTAGAACAAAGTATATACTTACTGCTCTCTGGATGACAACAGCTGCTTTATACTCCTTAAGAGATTGTCTCTGTTGATGGAAATTTCTTCTCGCTCTATGTCCTCGCCAGAATCTCTGGATAGTTAATGCTGATTTCCCCTCCATTTCCTCCATGTACTTACCTACCTGACCTACAAACGTAACAAAAATAGTTATGAGACTGTGGGCAGGGATCTCTTAGCAATTTACATTTTTACTCTATCTAAACTAGATAGTACTAAAAAAGCTTGGGTGCTATCAGTTAAAAGCCCCTATTCACCCAAGGTCTGCTAGCTGTGGGCCATGTCTCAGAGACTTGTAGCTGCAATGGAGCTCTGTAACCCAAGAAAACTGGGTCTCTCTTTCTCCTGCACTGTTTTGAAGGCAGCAGATCTTGATCAGTAGTTACTGAGCCCTTGTAGAATTAGCATGTTCTCTGTCAAGTAACTGGGTCAGGAGAAGAGACAGTAAGACTACAGTGCAAACAGACATGCAAGATTAGGAAACAATTTGAAGAAACTGTTCTTAAGGAGACTAAGACAGTTTAATCTTCTGATATAGTTTAATATAAATCATACTGGCATGGATTATTTTCAGTAAGGCCAGCTGTCGTTCATGGAAGAGTCTCATGGCCCTCTGTCTCTGAAGTTGCATTTGCAGTTTTAGAGCCTCATCTTCCTTCTGTTTTTTCAAGTGGTGCAGCTCCTGTTCCCGTTTCGCTCTGCAATACACAAATACATTAAAATTAGTTGTACATTCCTTAAAAGCATCTCTCTTTGTGTTAAATGGTCCAGCATCGAGGGAGAAAATCCACAAAATAATCTGCCATCCCAGCTGCTGGCTGCAGGACCACACCAAATGAGAAACTACCTGCAAGCTAACAAATCACCACACTATCTACAGTCATGAAAAACTCCGAGCCAGTCACTCAATCTCACATCAAACCAGAGGATATATTTTTACTTAAGATAAAGTTCTAAAGACCCTGAAGGAAATGATGCTCCATGTGGGACATTCATAGCCAGCATGAACTACAACAAAAATTTTGATTCCATCATCTGAGCAAGAGGTAAAGCAACATTAGTGATTTGCCCCAGTACCTTTTCCAGGGCATCCATCAGCATACATGGCACCTGCTTTTCATAATTCATACTATGATTTTTTTACTGACTGCAAGGGTAGATCAGAATGTTGCTGCTAAGGCTCACTTCTTCAATTTGGAGGGATTTTTTTTCCCCAGGAAAGACAGACTGACATATTTTCTCCATCAACCTTGTTAGCAGAACGCTAGGAAAGAATTTTCTTGTGATTTCTTCCTGCTCTGTACCACTTGTTGTAATTCGATGTTAGGATGTTGCCGCACTGTGCTTGGCATTGGAAAAGCCCCAGCAGATGTTTCACAGATGAGACAACTGAAAATTCTGTAACTGCCCCATAGTTAATGATAACCTTTATATCAATTGTATATACACACTAACCTATTAGTATATAGACCACTGTGTTAATACTAACTATACTGATGTATTGGTACTAATAATTACTGAGACCAATTCGACACGGTCTCAGTGACGCATGAGGAGCTGTGAGCCAGGACTCCCCCTCCCTTCACTACCCCTTCTCATTCCAATGGACCTGACCTCATTAGCAGCTTCATGCTTAAAACTTTGCAAGTGTACCCCACAATAAGGTAATGATGTGATCCCCCCTCCTTCTCCTATTGCAGCGAAATCACTTACCCACTCAAGGCCTGAGTAACCCCACTGGGCCCACAGCCCTGAGTTCTGCTCTCCTCTAGCCTCTTCCAGGAACAATGAAAGGAGCACCTTAAGCACTAGGGCAGATGGACAGAGCACAGGCCTAAGGGCTGCCAGAAAGGATCAAAAAAGGCTGAACTAGAACCAATGCCCAGCAAATTTGGTATTGCTGCATGTCACATCCCTTTAGACTCACAGTACTACTGAGTTGCAAGTTCCCCATCACTAGTATAAATTGAGTTGTAATTTTCACCAACCATACTTTCTCCTCAGTCTCTGCAACTGGGTGGGGAAAAGGGAGATGGAAGCTATTGTGTAAAATTGATGCTCTGGGTTTAAAGTTCTGGCCCTAACTGATAAAAAAGCCTCCACCATGATCTGAGAGATCGTATTTCTTTTATGACAGTAGTGCAGACTTGAAGCATGCCCACACATCTATCTACCAAGACAGATCATGATACATGTGATTACATCAGAATGGTCTTCAGGAGACTAGAGGATTTTAGCCAACACATTTCTGTGAATTAGAGCTGTAAATCTTTGCATTTTTAATCCAGGCAGGCACATATTACATCTCTAAGTGGAATGATGCCACAGGCTCAGACAGGACTCTTGATGACATTAATAATTTCCCCTAGACATTTTTATCAGCTCCACTAGGTGGGAAACTACAAGAATGTTTCATGAACTTCTCTGATGTGCATCTGTGAAACTACCAACAGTATCTGTCAGCTATTTAAATGTTTCTTTGATACTGGTTCTTTCCCATGAAATCTGCAGAACACATGCTTTTCTTCCTCCTAATAATAAGACATATTTGTTTGCACAAGACCACACTGTGACACTGTGACTGCTTCTGTTCAGAGGGAAATGCCTCTGAACAGAAGCAAAACACACAGGGAATAAGATCTAAGCTTCCTTCAGCAGTTCATGGCACAGATCAGCCTCCCTCTGATCATCTCTCTAAAGCATAACTTGCAGAGTTTAAGATGTTCCACTGCAGATGCAGATGAGCCAAGTTTGGAGTTTCAACCTCAGGAATATTTAACCATGCTTGTTCTAAAATAAATCTGTGAATATATTCAAACCCCCACTGTTAAAAACTAAAAAGTCCTCTTGACAGCTTTTCTGAGGTTGTACTTACACTATTTTTCAGCATAATACTAACTGCAGCTTTGACCTAAACAGAAAAAATCCAACACTGGAGTAGTACAGTAACTGTATTTACTCAGTACACTGAGACTGTCTGAGCCATCAACACACAACTGCAAGGATATGAATACATTTCTATTCCCTTCAGTATTAAACAGGCACATTCAAAAGTCCATTTAAATGACTCAAGAACTACTTAAGAGGCACACATTACAATACCGAAAACATGACACAGGAAAGTCAAGTAGCTTGTTGATTGCTGACAGCCTCGCCACCCTTTCCCTTCCGCTATACCATGTTACGTCTTAGCCCATCATCCAAGTTTTCTGGGCTCTGATTTTTCATTGAAGGCTTGCAAGATGCCTGATGAGGGCAGGAATACTGTCTCAAAGTGTATGGTCAGTAAAAATGAGTGACAAGGACGTTATCCTTGGTATCCCAGCACAACAGGCACACTGCTTACCCCTGCAAACCTTCCAGAATTTAAAGATGACACCCTAGATCGTCCAGTATCTTCTTAATGCCAGTCTAGACAACAAATCATAACTCTCTGCTTTCTAACACCTTGATCATAATGCAATGTGATTTATCTAATTGACTTCTAGGATCTAGCTTTGACATGGTAATGCTCAATATACACAAAAAAAGTTGGAAAAAACCTGCTGTAGAATCTGAACTTGATTTAGATCCCTTGATCTACGTTAAATTCACACGACATTTCTCAGGAGTTAGCCTAACATGTGCAAACATTACTGCTGAAATACTGCTTCAAGACAAGAATTATTTATGTAGCTTCATTTTTCTGTGGTGCTCCAAGTCAGAGGATACTATTTCTAGATCACTGAAGTGATTCCTCTTCTGAGAGCCAGACAGTTCAAATATTAATGAGGAACAAGGTCTTGCAAGCACTATACTGGGCAAGCACGATGGGCCTTGGTTTCTGCAGCACTCTGGCATGGCAGATTGGAAACTCCAGGACTGCTTCACATTCAATTTACGGTGGAATTTTGTGTCAAGTTAACTGCAAACAAGTTAACTATTCCACTACCAGTACATCACCCTCTAATTCTGTTTAGTTCAATCCCATGCTACAGAGTGGCATGCTTTTAGTTTTCCATATGCCAGAAATACACAGAAAACATGTAAAAGCGTCATAGACCCAAGTTTTTTTCACAGAGAAGTTCAGCAGCTGGGAAAGGGACAGTTGGAGCTTTTGGCACCAGAAGTGGCAGTTTGGTCCTGCTGGAAAAGCACACTTTGGATGTTTCTGCTACAAGAATCTGTAGTGAAACAGCTCATATTGGCATTACATTACCTTTATGTTTCAGAAATAACAGCCGACTGAAAAAAGGCATCTTCAAGAGGAAGGAACTCTGGCCAGCCCTACTTCAAAAAGGACATTGGATTACATGAGCCAAATTCTTCCTGTCACTCTGTAACCTGAGAAAAACTAAACTAAACCTTCTTACTAATCCCTCTCTTTAGTGCTTTTTACAAAATCATACTATTTACCTGAAGCTTCTTTGTAAAGTAGTCACAGCTTGGGGTAGTTTTTTCAGCCTTTTCCTTGTCTGAAATCCCCTCCACATAGCCTGGATTATGCAAGCTGCTTGATGCTGCCTCTGAAATTAATAAAGCAGTTGGTAGAATATTTTCTCTGCATAAAAAACCACTTTTAAAGCTTGCATATTTGGAACAATCTCAACGTTTGGCAAAAAAACCCCCAGTTTTCAAAGGCATCAATATTCAGTATTTGTAACAGCTTGAAGAATTTAAGGTCTTATAAGACAGTTACTATCCTGAACCCTGTATTCCTCTAAAGGTACCTAATCTGACCATCCAGATTGATGCTTTCTGTGGGAAACAAATGAATCTACAGCACAAATATAAAATATGTATTAGCTGCATTAACCAATGTTAGAAATTTGTATTTAAACACCTGAAACACTTGATATTTCAAATGGTGATTCAATCAAAATACCTACTCTAGAGAAGGCAGAAAGACAAGTCTGGAGAATTAGCAGAGGAAAAATGTTACATTTGTGGTATGATCAGAAGTCATTGAAATGCAACAAGCAAAAAAAAAACAAAAAAAAAAATCAATTCTATTCTTAAATGGATTTCTTAAAAAACCCACAACAAACAAAACCCTCAAACAAAGCAGCAAACAAAAAGCCCAACAAAACCACAGAACACTCTGCTCTGTTGAAGATGAAAGCAAGTCTCTACAACTATAACCTGACTGCCTTTTAAGAATTATCTCTGAGAAATCTGCACGTAAAATTTTGTTAAGAAGTTTGTACATTGTCTCATGTATAGGGAACACACCCCAGTTGTTCTTATTCAGCATTTCCTCTACATGATTTGATTCTACATGAACACTGCCTAGAATTGAGAGATCTAAATTTGTAACACTGATGTGAAAAAAGCAGATACAGTTATTTTTGGTCTATAGTTAGCAAAAATAATCCACACCCCGCCCCAGCTATGGTTGTATAGAAGTTTACAATGAATCTCTAACAGGAAGTCAATCTTCCAAGTGGCTGTCCTGAATTGCTGGTAAATTTCTTGACGTCTTCAAAAATGATGGAGGGAAAAAAAATAATAGATATGAAATTTTAAAGTCCATTAATATAGCGAAAAAATAACATAGGCTTTGAAAAGTGTCAAAGTGATAGAGTAAATCCATTCTAAACATACATAAATCACATGTAACTAGGATTTCACATACAAAAGTCTCATTAAACTTCAGCACCTGCATTTCTCCTTTTCCATTGGGCTGTTCCAAGTACAGCAGATCCAAAAGTTGACTAAGATCCCTGTCAAATCCTTTGCCAGTCCACTGTTTACTTAAAAGCCCTTTTAATCCTAAGAGAGAGAGAAAAGCAGTGTGTGATACTGCTAAGGTGAATTTTTCTTTTCAGGATTTCAAACCAACAATTTTCAAGTAAAAAAATCAAATCTGATTCTATGTGCACAGGAACAGTAGAGCTGAACACTGTCAGTCAGTCATCTTTGTGTTTCAATGCACATTATTATCAATGAATATCTGGTGCTCTAACCATCACAGAGAAGTATAATGCCGTGACCATAGTGTGTATGTCCATGGCACTATCTATCGTGCCTATATAACTGGCAGCTAAATTATCAATGTACTTTCAGTGTCTTATCAGTAACCCATTTTAAGGTTCTACAAGGATGTAAAGTACCATGCAAGCACTGGGTTTTATTAGCACTGCTTTTGTGTTTTTCATAATAAAAATTTATTTATAACTGGAATTCTTTGATGTCTTATCTGCATAGCATAGTCTAACTGTCAATACACGTGCATCCAATCCCCGAGACAAAACAGCTCTTTGGGTTTGCAGTAGCTAGGAAGCGTAGTTGTGCTCCTCCCACAACACACACACACTCCTCGTGCTGCACATAGGATCTAAACAGACAGTAACACATGCTTTTTAGCTTTGCATCAGACAAATCTCAGAGGCTGAGAGTTCTATAGGAAGTTGCAGGTAAAAAGAAAGGGAGCAGGAAGTAGACACATGTTTGGATAGCCTCCTGAAGAACTGCAGATTCAACTTTTCCATCTTCAAATCACTGTCATAAGCATATTAATACACTGGACAACTCCCACACATGTGTAATTACAGGATCTGGATATGGAGCACAAAGTCCTTCAAGCAAACAGAAATGGTACCTCTGTTCTATCACACATGCACCATTTTGGAAAGACAATGATGGTTAAACTTCTTCAGAAGAGAAACAGGTGAGACTCCAAATGGAGTCAGGGGATGCCCTAAGGCTGCCAGAGCTCTGCACAGCCTGGCTGCACAAGGCAGAAGTCCCATGGGTCTGATGCAACCATATGCCAGTTTCTGTACAGAAGTACAGCCATATGGACCTTCCAGCTACTGACAGGGAGATCTCAAGTGTGCCTCTCAGCTGTGTCAACCCACACAGACATAAAGACCAGGTCCTCCTGGAAACCCAATGTAAAGACTGTGCTAGTCTTGGAAACATGACTCAGGTGATGCCCTCACCTCCAGCAGGCTGCCACTGGAAGCCTGCACTGAAGTACCTCATACTGCCAACAGCTCTGAGCCACCGTGAAGCCAAGTTATTTCAATGGAGATAGCCAGCTGGTGGAAATGCTGTAATGCTTTCTTTGTTGCTGCTACTCCTCAAACTACCCAAAGGATTCCAAAGCCTGAGTGAAAACTAACATAAGGAATCTAACTTAAAAAAACCCAACCACAACAACAAAACAAAACAACAACAACAACAAAAACCACAAACAAAACAAAAAAACCCAACAAAAACCCCAAACCAACCAACCAAACCAAACCAAAAAACCCAAAAAACAGAGAGGAAACAGGATATGTGTACAGAAGTGAGATGAAAAGTCTCTAAATGACTGTGGCATATTGTGATTCTACAGCAAAATGAAGTATAATCCTCTGATGGAGACTTGCTTTTCTTCAGACCAGCCAGCATGCTACAGTTGGGATGATCAGACTATCACAGCAGCTTCACAAGAAGCTGCAATGTGATGCTAGTCTTAGGCACTTTATACTTAATTTCATACCAATAGGAAGCTCTCCTCTCCCAGTTCTGCAGTCAAAAAGGTGGCAAAGCTGCCAGTCTGGTCCAGAAATTTATCTGGCTGGTATTGCCTAATAAATAGTCAACACAAACATAAAAAAGGGAAATTGGACCTTTTTGTCTAGCATACCCACTTTTTACTGTCCTCATCCCAAAGGACCTGAGGCTCCTCACAAGCAGTTTTGACCATTAATAACATCCAGAATATAAAAGACCTGGCAAACATCAAAGCCTCTTTCTTAGTCTCCATAGGCATGACAGAGGACAAAGAGATTTCCTGGAGCTCCCTGCTAGGCCAGAGACAGAAACATTAAATGGGACACCTCATTAACTAATGAATAACATAGAGCAAATTATAGGCATACTCATATAAAGGCATTGAGACAAAACAATAAACCCGTTTTGTGAATTATTGGAAAAAGTTCATTCCAATCTTTGATACCAAACCACAGTTGTCGTCTCAGTAATAGAACAGCACCTATCAGATTAGCAGACCAGTAACAGAAGTTGGCTTTAAGTAAAACTTCGATGGTTCTGGATTAGTGAGCCCTAGCACACTGGCAGATGTCTGATACACAGCTCTTACTGGGGCAGTAACAGGCACTCCACTACTAGGATATGTCAACATCCAGCCTCCACAGGAATAAGAGATGCAGAACATCACACAGAAAGAAGTAAAGACCATCAAGTTGGAAGTGACAAACAGCAGCTTTAAGAGAAAAGTTGCCACATGCGGAGTCCTCAATACACAGAAGACAATAAATCTAGGAAACAGGAAGAGGTGTGGCACCTTAAACCACAATGAAAATGAACAGAAGGCAGAAAAAAACAAACCAACACAGCACTGCAGTTTCCATATGTACTGCGTACTTATCCCATACAAGATGGGAAACCTCCATCTTTGTATTTTTACAGCATACATAAGAAGATGCCAAGCGATGTGCCATGCATGTTTACAAACCTTTGTAGCGAGTTGTGAGTAACCTCACAAGCTGCTTGCAAAATTTTGCCACCATCACCAGCAGTTTTGTAGCAGCATTTCCTATGACAGGATTGGTAGTAGATGAAAGCTTATAAACAAGTTCATCCAAAACAGAGTAAAGGGTCTCTTCATCAACCTGAAGCAAGACAGAGCTTTGAAGAAGGAAAAAAAAGGGGGGAGAAGGGGGCAGGGCAGAATTGAAGTGTTAATTAAAATGATGAGCTTTTTAACAGTAACCTATTTTTAGAAAAGTTAGGCATTCAACAAGCCCATATGCCCAGCTAGCCAGCCCAGCAATCTGATGCAGGCAGTACTACTGTTTCAATCAACTGATTCCCATTCCCTCAATTTAACAAAATAAAGAAAACAGCTTTTTTTTTTTTTTTTTTTTTTTTCTACAATAAAGACTAAGGAAAAAACCCAACACAATTTTTGTATATGAAGAAGTTCTGTTTTACCAAACAGTAACGAACTGAGTTTTAAATTTAAAATTCAGAAGAAAACAATTATATGAAAACAACTAACCTATTGACCTTCAAAAGATTGTGTAAAACAGACATCATTAGAATTGTTGTTTCAACATCATCTGTTATTAACAACTGCAGGAAGTGATCATTTTGCAGTACTGAAAAAGCAAAACAAACCAAAACCAAATAAACAAGAAATCACACAATCAAAACCAGACTTGAAAATACCGTAAACCAAATAAACTTCATTATGGAACATAAGCCACAGCAAGTAAAATCAAATACTGTTTCTGGAACAAAATCCCTCTTTTATAATTTTTACAGTGAAACTTACAGGCATAAGTAAACTACTTCAACATCCAAAAAACATGTTAAGCCCTGTTTTTTTCTGCCTTTTGATATCCCTCAGGCACTGGTGTTGCAATGGAATAAAAGCTTTAAAACCTTTTATGTTACACAACTACCAGTTTCTTATTACACCAGTGGAATTATCATTGGGGCAACAATATACAGAAAAGATAAGGACTTCAACCTTGACAGTGTGTTACACCAGGCTTATTTAATGCAAGTGCACTGATGTCATTACAGCACCATCTTTTTAATTCCAGTGTACCACTGTCTACATATTTAGCAATCTTGCTGGCCGCATGCGGTTTTAGTTACATATCTTGTGATCCTTAAGTTTTTGCTCTATATTAGAAACAAAACCAAATTCTGCTTTTTAAAATCAGCATGCTTAACACTGGTTGAACTGAAAGCTTATTTTGGCCAGAATTGCATAGTGAAGTTTGTTAAATATCTGTAAAATCTCCCGTCATGGCAACAACTTCATAAATCTGTTTTCAACTCTACTCTCTTTTCAGGGCCAGCAGAGTACTCTGATTAGATTTCTGCATATGTTATCCACACGCAGGTAAAAGGTGAACTGTATCTAATCAGGAAAATATATATATATTTTTTTTTTTTTAAGGTGTAGAATTACAAAGGAAAATTACAGAAAAACACTTTTAATGTTTGTCTCTGAAATACTAGAAGGGAAATTTCCTAGTATTTCCCTTTAGTGGATCTTAGCCATTTTCGATATTGCTGTTTCTGTTGAGTGGATCATTGTAAGAAACTGATTTGACATCCACTCCAGTTTAGAAAACTAGGTGGGGATTATCTTAAGATTGATTGTTGATACCTCTATTTACAATAATAATTTTCCAAGTGTTTTATGGGTTTACTTTTTCCTTACCACACGCTGCTAGTTGAATATGCCCACCGAACAGCCAGCAGATGGCATCAGTTACTGTTTGGAACCAGTGTAAAAAATCCTGTTTTTCTTCATCCTAAGAAAAACGCAAGTAAGTAAAAGCATGTGTACGTTATCTTCACTGAGGACTTCAGCTTGATGTAGTGGAAAGGTTTGTATGATTCGGGGATTTGGAGACCAAAACCCCATCAAATTCCCAAATGAAGTTGGCAAAACTGTGGGAATCAGTCAAAAAAACTCCCCATAACTTACAAGTCCTTCAAGGCCCAAGATCAATGAAGACAATGTAAACTTTTAAAAAAAACACATCCATTCCTGAAAAAAATCATAGCACGGAGAGACAAGTCTTGTTTACTCCTTAAAAAAACATTGATAGCATAGGAGGGCTAAGACAAGTAACAGACCAGTAGAAACGTACCACAGATTTAAAACACAAAGTGGGAGATATATTATTTAAGATTAAAGCACAGATTAAAACTGTAATCTTATTTAAGATAAAAGCACAAAGTGGACAAGTACATAGGAAAAATGGAAAAGGTTCCTAAAAACTGAAATGGTGAGGCTTCAGAAGCACCTCCTCCTTGGAGGTCTGGGAGCAAATGCCAAACCACTATTAAAGGGAAGTTTGATCCATTTGCCAAACAGATTACGTTATGTGCTTGCCTGTGATAACACTGGACTGGAAAAAATGTCCAGGAAGAGTCCTGGTTTGAACACATGAACACTCATACAGGTGCAGAGTCTAGAGTATGTATTCCAGGTGTGAGCCACTGGAACTATAAAATTTTGGTGTGGGGGATAGCAAAGGGGCTTTTGATAGTACTACACTGTTGATGAATGTTGTTATAGAGCACTTGGCCTGATATGTCCCGCATCAATTCAGCCTCCCAAATGAAACTCTGGAAAGCCTGTTCCTAGGTCCATGCTGTAACTCCCAGCCATCAGTCACAGTTTAAATTTGCATTTGGTTCTTACTGACAATGAGAGATACAAAATCACAGTAATAAGCTGTAATATTATCTGTTCTGTGTTTTGGCAACATGTCAGTTTCTGAAAGCTATTTCAGTACTTCCCTTGACTTCAAAGACTTGTACAAAAAGCAGACGAGGGCAGAATAAACTACAGATCTCTACTGGTAGAGTGGGATTTCCAAAGTTCCACTGAGCAAGCGCCAAGTCTGGGTGCCCAGTCACCTCTGAGACCACAAGGTTTAAAAGCCAAAGTACTAATTATAATGTAGTCTGCATTTGCATTCAAAAGAAATCTTTGCCCACAAGCATGACTCAAGTAGCATGCAGGACGAAACATAATAAGAAAGTGTGGAGGAAATTACATATTGCGGACAAGACTTGAGTCTCCTGGGATGTCCTTCAGGAAGCTTCCTTCTTAAGCTCTAAATGCACTTCTAAAGTATTGAATTAAGAGAAAATATGTTACTCTACTGATACTTTCTGAGAAATTACTATGGTGCTGGTGTCCATCACAATGCTCCATAGGAAATCTTGGGCTAAGTGCAAGAAACCAGTGAGCCAAGACATGAGATAGTACAGGGAAATGGGAATATTAAAAGAAACTATCAGAATCCATGAGGCTGGTTATTTAATTTATTTCTGAGTTTCGTTTGTTGGTCTTTTTTGTTGTCCCCCCTTCTAATTCTGGAACTCAGAATGCTTCAAAAGGATGAGGGAACCTCGCTGGGCAAAACCCTTCTTCTCTGCAAAGAGGGAGGGAAATGCAAGGAAGTGTCCAAATCTACAAATTTACCAAGTCTGCCTTTGGGGTTCCCAAAGTGTAGGTTCAGAAGTAATGAGCACTGTGGGAATTTTTTGCCAATTTCGCAGCATAAATTGTATGGTGAAGCAAACTTCAAGAAATCTGATTCAAAATCTTAAGACTTCCTAAACCTTTTTTTGTAAAGCTGAATAGAGCAGTAGGAGCAGAGCCCTTACAAAGACTGAACTTATTATATGCAAAGTTAAAAAGACACTACCATGATTGTACTGCTGACTTTTGTAAGGCATTTTTCTCTATTGCACTGCTCTAATTCTTCTATACTGCTTATAATTGCATTCCTTCCTCCTACCTTTAAAACTGGTGAAAAGTAGTAGCCAAACTCTCCAAACAAACATACAGTACCAAAACAGATCTGCACATGTAATGGACTGCATGGTCCACAATGACAGATTTCAGTTCCAAAGCTCCAAGGCATAAAAAAATACTGTAATTTATGGAAAATAAAAGTTCCTAATACACTGTCCCTAGAATAACACCCTACTTACACAAAAACCTTGGAACCTTTACAGAGGTTCTCTGCTCTTTTAACTACGAAACTTAAATACCTTGATTGCTCGGATAAATCGTGCTTGCAGGCGTCTTCCCAAAACCAGCAGGTTGTCTATAGCTGAAGGAAGAAATTTCTTGTAAAATTCCTCAGGATCTTCTTTCACCTCTAGTCCTACACAACAATGACTGAAATGGAGGAAGAAAAAGAAAAAAAGTCAACCTGAATCGAGGGTTCCATTCAGAACAAATTCATATGTTCAAATATACCATTTGAACAGCTTTGAATGAATGTCATGTTGTCAGAGTATAAATGCTTCACTGGCATGGGACAATTCAACACTGAACAATGGTTAACTGCTGTGACTGGCTCCAAAGGTAGCTGCTTCAAAAGGAAGAGGAATCAGTGGCAGGCTGGAAACAGCAAGCATATTACTACTTATTACAGCACGTCTACGTTTAAAAAATATCCAAGGCACTGTCTCTTTCAGCTTCACAGGACCTGTTCAGGCTTGCTCCATGTGCTAGGGAAGGGCTCCAATGACCATAAAGGGAAAAAAAAAAGCAAAATAGAAAGGTAGACAAAACCCTGATAAAGGCAGGCTGATGATGAAGGGGGTGCAGATCAGGCAATAAAAACGCGCATTAAAAAATACTACCACAAAAACTTCTGTGAGTCTGTCTACCACTTTCCTCTAACTGAGGAATACACGTGGGCTACGAATCAGTTCTTCAGATCTCAGTTCTCTTATTTTACTCACAGCAACCATGTCAGTCATTTCTGGAAGGCTTTTTACAAGAAACTGCATGTTTTACAACTGGGAAGCTTTTAAATTCTGCACTGCACACTGCTACCAGTGCAACAAAAAAAATCTTCCTAACTTCTTATGAATTTTGCTTTCTGACATCTTCCCTAGGCTTGGATAGCTTTTTGTGAATGCACACACATAAGGCTTTGCTTAGCAACCCTCAGAAAGCAAATTCTGGGCATGAAGCTGAGATTCACCTAGTTACAAAAGGACATTTTTTATAAGCAAAATAAATTTCAGTTTTCTCCCAAACTGAAATAGCTTATAGGGGATGATTTAAGTATCTATCACACAGCTCTGGTGATAAATCTTGCATCTTTTAGTGAAATTCCTGGCATTAAAAATTCATACTGCAGATAAGGCATAAATAAGTGTTGGTTGCCTAATTGCTTCATGCCTTAGAATTTTGCTCCTTAGTTAAGCCAAAATCAAGCATAACTCGGGGAAAATTTAAAACTTACTATTTTTCCTGACATTGAAAACTGAGATTGGGTCACTGGGGATTTGAGTTTAAAGTTGTCCTATTTACTAGCTATGAATTATGTTTAATAATGCCATTCTCACACTATCACTACATCAAGCTGTCTAGTTTGTATGAACCATGTCCTCTCTTATGCTGAAAATATAAATAGATAAAGAAAATAGGTATACAAACAGAGTGAAGCCAAGCTGTGAGTCAATCAGGCTGAAGATTTTTGCAAGATGAAACCTAAGTGAACAAACTCTTTAAAATAACTGCAATTCAAAATTAGCAATGACTGGGTAAGAACTGTGACACCAATGAGCACTGTTCACAAAAAAAGGTAAAGACAACGCAGAAAGTGTTCCCACCAAACAGTCTACCCAGCTCAATAAAACAGTGGGAATGAATTAAACAGGACCAATTAGGCTATGCCTGACCCCTCTGCTCTTGACTGCTCCCTGCACTTTAACCCTGGCCTTTTCTGAACAACAAGCCTTGTTCTGGATGGGAGCCAGTGTATTACAGCTTGAAAAGAAAAAGAGCAAGATGAAAGGCCAGAAAGAATACAAGAAGAAAACTTTTTAGCACTTTTTTCACCTTAGTATCTCTGCTAGCTGGGCAGCAGTAGCCCAGCCTCCATGCAGTCGAAAGTGGTCTTGTCTAAGGACCAGCATGCAGTACCGAGTAAGATCATAACTGTATATATCTTGTTTAATTCTTTTGGATTCTTCAGATCCCAAGGAAGCACTATTTAAAATTCCTGTGGGAAGAAAGCAGGACAGAGACAAAGAGGCACATAAGATTCTGATGTGCAAGACTCTTTTTCTTTTTCCAAAATATATGTGTACACACAGCCATGATTAAGGTAATTCTAAAAGGGCTAACAGCAGTATATTTTTTTCCCCCAGCATTTTTCACTCCTACAGCTACAATCCATTTTTTTAGCTTCTATGACAATTGGGAGGGATAGCTAAACTTAGGTTTCCATTTTCTCATTGCACATTTAGTAGTAAAACATACATTACCTGGGATATAGCCCATTTGTATGAATTTCCTAGGCCAGATAAAACCACAACCACTGTGAAACATACAGCTTCCTTATAATTACATCCTAATTTAGAACAGGACCCAACTTGTTTCTACCATTTCTATGAGCAAGTGGCTATGTGGCAAAAGAAAAGACAGGGGAGTCACACAGGAGCTTGTGATTGCGTTTCTATGTTAAGACTTAAAAACTGACTACTGACAACCACTCCATTTCTCCACCAAAAGTACTGGCAGAAATTATTTAACCATATGCAAGATCCTTGTCCACATCAGCAGGGGTCTTATAAACATGGTGACAGCTGATAAGGAGAAAAAGAGTTCCTCTCCATTTGTTCCCCAGCATCTCCTTCTTATTGTTACAGAGCCAAATGCCACTCAACACCAGTCTCAGGAAAAACTCGGAGAGTTTCCAGCCCTGCCAGAAACATTCAGAAAGACCTTCTGTATTTAAGGAGGCAGAAGGAAGCAGGACTGCCCATACTCCGCTGCCCCATCTTCTTCTCTTAGAAAAGGCGCCAATTACCTTTTAACTTCAGAAGCAGCAGGGGGATGTCCTGTTCTGTGCTCTCGGTGACTTGAGCAGCTAAGGCCAGTATCCGGGGATCGGCAGCTGCCAGCCCCGCGCTGGGCACGTTTGCCATAGGAAACAGAGGGAAGCCCTCAAAACCATCGATTTAAGCCTCTTCCCTTCCTTAGTTTTTTCGGTGCAGGCGTGGAATCCTTAAGCCACTACTTCCACCAAACCTCCAGCGCCATCGGCTGGAGC